GGCGCGCGCGGCACGCGGGGGTGGGCGCGGGGTGCCCGGCGCCTTCCCAGCGCTGCGCCTTCTGCCCACCCCTGACCTTAGCTTCCCGCGCTCAGCCGGCGGTGGTGGGCTGTGTAAGGGGCCGTGAACGCTGGCTGCTGTCCGCGACCTTTTCAACGAGGGTGTCCCGAGGTCCCCGCCCCCGGCGCCGGCGGAGGCGCGTGCCCGGGACTCGGGTCCTCACCGGAGCCGCGGCGGTCTGCGCCGAGCGAGCTCACAGCCGCGCGCTTCCCTAGAATGAGGCGGTGGTCCTAAGGTTTGCCTGAGAAGAGCGTTGGGATTGAGACGTGCGGTTCCGCCGCTGCAGCCAGCGTTCGGCGGGGGCTTCCTCTCGGCTTCACTGGCTAGCTCCTTGCTCGATAAAAATCGTGCATCCCACAGATGGGCAGTTACAAAATAGTCACGGGGATGTAACGTTCAGCATAGAAAACACGGTCAGTAAGATTGTACGATGTGCGGTGCCAGGCGGGCACTAGGCTCCTGGGGGGTCACTTCCTAAATTATGTAAATGTCTAATCGCTGTGCTGTGCACCTGAACCTCATACTATATTGAATGTCAACTGTAATTGAAAGTTTTTTTAAAAAGTTAAATTGTGCATTCCAACCCTGGGAAAACAACTGATTTAAGTATTGGGGCTTTGACTCCTGCAACTAAGTTACGTTTACCGTTAGCTGTGAAAAGTGCAGTCCTGCGTGCGATATCACGTTGAGAATCAGAAAGTCAAGTCCCTGAAATACAGATACTGAAAATTATTTAAAATGCTATCTCAAGACCTCTTGGTAAGCCAGTAAGCTCATAAGCATATTTAAACAGTGAGTGAGACTTGATATATGATGTACATTTTGTACTATGTTCTATTTTTTTCTCCTAAATTTGTTTAGACAAATATAGTAGAAAAGAATAGAGAAAAGCCAAGCAGTTCCTCTCTCTTTATTTTTTAACTAATGAAAATGTGCATTTTATCCTTTAGAATAGTGTGAAACTTTTAGTGCTACTAACACACTTTTTAAACTTTTTAAAATTAAAAATGCCATGCATTTTTGTTACCTTTTAAATGAGTTAGAAATGTATGAAGTAAAATGGAGATCCTACTGTTAACACTTTGTATCTATGTACATAAATGCACAAAGCTATATTTTTACTAAATTTAAACGCTATAAACTGGGTTGTAATCTGTTGTGTTTTTTTAAAAATATATCTTTATTGATTTCAGAGAGAGGAAAGGAGAGAAAGAGAGAGAGAGAGAAACATCAATGATGAGAGAGTCATTGATCGGCTGCCTCCTGCACTCCCCCTACTGGGGATCAAGCCTGCAACGCAGGCATGTGCCCTGACGGAGAATGGAACCCCAATCACCTGGATCCTAGGTGGATGCTCTACGCTGAGCCAAGCCTGGCTGGGCGTAACCTGTTTCTTTCACTTAGCCTTGTAATCTAGTATGTCAATTGTTCTTTTCTGTCAATTGTTCACAGTCCAGGTGATCTGGGTTCTGAGATCTATATTATAGATCTTTAGTTAATTTTGTAGTTAGAATGGAAATTTTTTCATTCTGGTTCCTTTTTCAAGAATGTGTTATTTCAGAAGCAAACAGCTCATTAATTTCTATTTACATGGTTACTGTACTAAATGTACCTGTAATGGACATTAGAGAGCTACTCTCGAGGTTTTGTAGTCCTAATTTATATGGACTACACTCAAAATTTTCTAACACTCAAAATTTTTAATGTAGTTAGAATATTGTGAGTGAATAGTGTAGTCAAGAAACAAAGTTGAAACATGTTTCACATATAATAGAAACATTTATTAATTTCAGAAGGATGTGGAAATCATAAGATTTTCCATTGAGGTTTTTAATATCCTTCACTTATTGAACAATATACAGTTGATCCTTGAATAACTTGGGTTTGAATTTCTCAGGTCCACTTACATGTGGATTTTTCAATGGATTCACGTTGTTCAAGGGTCAACTGTACATTGGCCCTTGTGTGAGCCTTGCTCAGTAAATTCATTCTTCAAGTCTTCAGAGGCTGTTTCATCTTTACATTTCTTAGCCTTTCAGAACTATTATCTTTGAGTCAAAGCTCAACTTTGTTTTGAAGGAAATCTCATGGTAAATTTTATTGTATTCTGTCCCTTCATGGGCTCGGTTTTAGATCAATGAACAAACTGCATGTGCCAGCCTTTCAGTGGAAAGGGCTAGTGAAAGTCAGTGTGCATTATCCACTGGGAGCTGCTGATCTAGCATAGTAAACAACTATGTTCAGTTGTAGTCTTAATCTTTTAGCACTTAATTGTGGAGAAACAATTGTGCCCCTATTATCTTTATTTTTTGGGGGTTTTAGAGAAAGAATGAAATATTTGCAGGGTATTGATAATTATTCTAATAAATAGCCAGTCAATATTGAATGGTTCTCAATTTATGTACAGAAACTTTGGAAGAAATTTTAATATAAAATATGCAGTAAATGTCATTTTAACTTTTGATTGGTGAATTCCAAATTTAATTGATACAACTCAAAAATAACCTTTGAGGAAGGAGAAGGTGGGATAAGGTCCTAAGTAATTCTGTAGTTGAGTGTAGATATTAAGGTTTTTTTAAATGACAGGTTATAAATAGAAAATTTGAAGCTGTGTTAAAATAGCTTTTTACTGTTTGAGGGGAAAGTGTTAAAAAGCACTGTTACTGTTGACATATTTGCTCATGACTGTTATGTCGTGGTGTAGTGTAGTTTTCAACTTGTTAGATAAGTAGCTTTCATAGTAACATTTTCTATCTTAACATGTCAAATGCCATTTCCAAATCTTCTCTCTATTAGAATGTATATACCCTTGGATCTGGCATTGTGTTCTCCTGGGCAACTGGGCACGTGTGTCAGTCTGTTTTGTTTCTGCAGTAAAAGCATAATGCTCTTTTTCTAACATTTTCCCCATATCCTAAACATGTCACAAGCTCAAATTGTGACTTCAGTACAAGATATAAGTCAGATTTAAGCATTTCTAGGTTATGGGACATTAACTTAAGGTTGAACTTAGATCTGTTGTATAACTTTTAACATTTGAAAAAATGCTTTATGTTAAATAGCATGTAATAAATTACAGAACTTTATGTTACCAATGTCACAGACATGATTTTGCTTTAGAATGAGATCAGTAAGGTATTGGAACTATGTTAGTACATGTGCCCAGTTTATAAAATTTAGATAGAAAATATTAAGTGGGAAAATGGGAAAATATGTATAAACATATTCCTTAAGAGCCATGTTTATTTGTCTAAGTAGGAGTGGAAACAAGCAATTTAAAAAATACTCATTAATCCAAATACACTTAATATTTTTATAGCCATATAATCAATTGAAGGGTAATTTATAGAGAATTGAAGGTACTGTAATAAAAGTTATATATAATGTTTGAGATGGGGACTTTTTAAATGTATACAAAGAAAAGATAAACATTTTTAGAAGATGATTTAGGAATTGACCTAAGTTCTTCAGAACATATATACCAGGTATTAGATGCCTATCAGACATAGACTTTGCTTAAAATTTTTAAAGCATCAAAACTGGAGGGGAGTAAAGTAAGGTGAGAGGAGAGAGGGAAAGACTGGAATGGCCCGGTCCCCGCCCATGTATGATGAGAGAGATGCCCCTTTGGATGCTAACTGGCCCTTGTATGATTTGGCTAGACAAGTTTGGGCTCATATTTGAGAAGTATGGCCATAAATGCATAAATACCATAAAATAGTAGAAAAATCTGTTTCTAAATTAAAAAGATAATAGTGGTATAAACTGTATTTAAAAACAAAAACCTTGCCTGGCTGGCATGGCTCAGTGGCTGAGCATCAACCTATGAACCAGGAGGTCACTTTCAATTCCCCGATTCCCAGTCAGGGCACATGCCCAGGTTGCTGGCTCGATCCCCAGTAGGGGCATGAGGACACTCTCTCCCTCTCCCTTCCTCTCTCTGAAATCAATAAAAACATATTTTAAATAAATAAATAAAAACAAAAAATTTAGTAGCTGATGATAAACTATAGTTGGGGTTCTAAAAATACAATTTGAAGTACAGAGTATTTGTCCTAAAAATTTCTGAATGTAGCTTAGTTACTATGTTTTGATAAAGCTGCTTTTGTGAAATGTAATTGATTTACAGTTATCTATATCCGTAACTATTACAGAGCCATTGTGAGATACCTGTAATTGCAGGTTAATTGGTGTAGTTTGTTTACCTTAATCATACCTTCCAGGACATGAAGAAAGCATGTAATTCAATAGTAACTTAAAACTTTTATTAGAAAGTAGTTGATGCTGGGCTGTAGTAATATGAACAACTTCTCTAAACTTTTCCAAATTTCCTGAATTTCTCCATAACATTGGTTTTTAGAAGAGTGAAACATAAAAGTACCTGTAAGTAATGTGCTGCCGTAGACCTTGTGTTCAGCTCTCCCCTTTGATTTTTTGCTTGCAGGCCAGAAGCGAACTCCTAGAAGAGGGGAGCAGCAAGGATGGAATGATAGCCGGGGGACAGAGGTGACGCTGGATAGAGCAGAGCGGAGATCCTACAGGGAATATCAACCCTATGAGACCGAGAGGCAGGCGGACTTTACATCTGAGAAGGTTACAGAAGAAAAGTATGTACTGCAAACAGATCTCGGCAGGAGGGTCGAGGAACTAGAATGATATTCAGAGAATGACTAGCCTTTGTGACCTTTTCATGGTGCCAGTTCTGGGAATAGTGTGCCAGTTTAAGTAGCAAATCAAAACCTTAGGTGCCACGTGAAGGATATTCATTTATCTCCTAAATGACCTTAAGTTTTGGTTCAAGCAATGATTTTATGATGAATTATTGGTGACTAAGAAAAGCACTCTCAAAAAAACTGCACAGTAGTATGTTCAAGTAGTTAAATTTCCTTTTGGAGTTTAGGCTAGGGATATAATTATGTTTTTGATTTAGCATTATTAATTTATACTACTGATGAATTTAAACAGATCCCTAGCCCCATGGTCAGGTCCATAGGCTATCATGATGAAATTTGAAGAAAAACTCATATGATGTGTAACACCAACTTCTGACTCCCATGACTTCTCTAGAAAGTGATCTGACCTGGAAGATGGTCTCAGGCTGGTGCAGTCTGACACCGCTCCTGAGTGATGTGGCTTCATGCAGGCCATCTGTGCCCACTGTACAAAGGTGGTAGTTCTTCGTGTCTTATGCTTGGCACTAACAGGATGGATGCTTGCTGCCTAAAGTTTTTCATTATTAAACCTATATAGCACTGAGTTTAGATTAAACTGAAACAGCTTGTGAATCACAAAGGAAAATAAAGGAAAAAAGACTTAAGGAGACTAGAGTAGTGTATAGTTTAATGTCGAGGGAACCATTTTCCCCAGAGTCTTTCAACTTCTTGACTACTAATCCTATTTATGATCCTGGCTAAAGTTTTGTTTTTGTTTTTTAATACTTTTTTATTGATTTTGGAGAGAGAGGGGAAGGGAGAGGGGGAGAGAGAGAGAAACATTGATGTGAGAGCAAGACAGTGATTGGTTGCCTCCCATTCGTACCCCAACCTGGAACCAAACCTGAAACCTCGGCATGTGCCCTGACTGAGAATCGAACTTGTGACTTTTGGGTGCATGGGACGATGCTCAGCCAACTGAGCCACACTGGTCAGGGCCTGGCTATAAATTTTAACCAAATAATATGGCTTTGTAAAATTGTACTCGAGTCCATTTAAACAAACCTTAAAAAAAAATAAAAAGTCCAGAGTAGCTCAATGAGAGGGCTGAGCAGGTGGTGACTTCTGCAGATCTGTTCCCTAGCAGTTAAACGTTCAAAACATCGAGAAAGTGTATCTTCTACCACATTGGAGGTGGGGTTGGAAAAAGGCTTAATTCTGCCCTTTTTTTGAAATTACTTCAAATTTGCTGTGTAATGGCCATGTCTGCATGCTTATAAAAAGCCTTCTGGATCAGAGCTGCTTATTTTAGGGAGCATTTGTGTGTGTGTTTTTCTCACTTCAGGAATTTATTCTGTGGAAATAAGGAAATTATAGCTCAAAAGCACAAACTCGTGTTCCCAGTTTTTTTAGTAGCAAAACTACAAGTCTTTAAAAAGGGTAAGATAGGTCTTTATGTGTTAACATGAAAAGATGCCTATTAAGTGAAGTCATACATATATATAAGACTAGGGGTAGGGTGGGATGTGGGATTATGGAAGGATTTTTTTCTTTAAAAATAACTTCAGTTTAACAAAAAGTTGCAAGAATTATATAGAAAATTTCCATATCCCATCATCCAGATTCCCCAGATGTTAACATTTTACCACATTTGCTTTATTATATCCCTTTCCCTCCTCTTTCTCTCTTTCTCTCCCCCATATGTCTTCTCTCCCTCTCTCTCTCTCCCTCCCCACCCCCGAGTCTCTCACACACACACACACACACACACACACACACACACACACACACACACACACACATGCACACACCTTTTGCTTTGTCATTTGAAATGAGAGTAAGGTGCAGGAATGTCCCTTTATCCCTAAATACTTTAAATGTGTTTCCTAAAAACATGGTATCAAACTTATTAACATCAATATAATTCTGTTGAATTCTCTAAATTATGTAATCTACAGACTACTCAGATTTAGCAGTTTTCCTACTAATGTCCTTTTAGCAAAAGGAAAAAAAAACACCTCAGGAATAAGCCTTGCATTTCATCATCTTTAATTTGGGACAGCTCCGTAGTCTTGATCTTTTAGTTTTTTTGAAGAGGACAGGCCAGTTGTTTCGTAGAGCAGTCTAGAATTTGAGTTTGCCTGGTGTTTCCTCGCAGAATGAGTTCACCTGGCAGGAACACCACAGAAGAGACGTCTCCTGTCCTTCCCAGTGTATCACGTTAGGGATATGGAGGAATTCTGACTTTCAAGGAAAATGTGCCATCAGAAAGGATATTTTTCTTAGTTTCTTTAAAAGTACTAGTCTATTAATAAAGGCCCGTAAGACCTTCAGTAAAAATAATTTATAGTCTTTTCAGATAATTTGGAAAATGTGTAGAATTATAAACAAAATTAAAAGCACCTGTCTCACCTAATCTGCGATGTTGACTCTTAACCCTTTGCCTGTCTCCTTTTTGTACATAGATGTACTTAGATGTGACGGTGATAGTGCGTGTACACTGAGCACTTTATATTCTTTTACACCTGACACGGCAGAAGTCTTCCCCATGTCATTAGCAGTCTCTGGGAAGCATTTTTAATGGTTCTGTTATGACCTGCTGTTTGTATGTATTATAATGTAACCATCTCCTTAGTGTTGGACATTCGCTCAGCTTCCAGTCTTTTACTTTATAAATAATACCCAGTGAGCAGTGTTTTGTGTACGTAGGGACTTTCCTAGACGGAGTCCTGGAAGTGGGTCCTAGTTAGGATCATAAAGCAGTGGTTCTCATGGATGCAAATCTGGGCCGCCATTGTGCTTCAGTGCAAGGTTGGATGGCTACATATGGTGTGAAAATAAACAAAAATTGGGCTGGAAGGCACCCTGGCCGGTGTGTCTAAGTGGTTAGAGCGTCAGCCTGCGTACCAAAGTGGCCAGGGTTTGATTCCCGGTCAAGTGCAGGAGACAGCCAGTCGATGTGTCTCTCTCACATTGATCTCCCTCTCTCTACTCTTTCTGAAAAGCAATGGAAAAAATATCCTCAGGTAAGGATTAACCAAAAAAAAAATTGGGGTGGGGGGGTATTGATACATAGTGACAAATCACTATCCTGGTAACCTATTAATTTACTCTATCACTAACAATCTGTAAAACCATTTTTCATAGCACTTTGTCCATACTTAAATATAATAATGTTTGTTCTTTGCTTACTTGATAGAGAAAATAGTTATTGCCGTGCATTCCTGATACCGATCCATGCTTATTGGACAGAATTATAGAATCTTGGTCATAGAGTCTTAAGAATCTTAAGACTGTCTAGTCCCATCCTCTCAGTTTATGGATGAAGGAACAGAGGCCCAGAATTTCAGCGCTGTGGAGTCTGGTCATCGCCAGCTAACAGGGATTTTTATTCCTCCAGGGCACAGCTCATGTTTCCACGTAGAAGCAGTGGCATAAATGGTGCTGGGAGCAACTGTCAGTGTGGCCGTGTGCAGTCAGCCACGTCACTTCTTGCATATGGTCCGGGAGTGGAACTGCTCTTTTTAATACAGTAGGAATTTTTCTTTAGGCTCCAAATGATGAATTGAAGTGAACTCTTAGAACCCAGGCTATTAGGAAATTAGTCTGCCTCTGTCTGGATACATTTTGGTTCTTTGGCTCTTTCTGGCACTTTACTGCTGTTCTTTTAAAATCCGTTCTAGTTCAGAAAGAATCACTTAGGTATTTAAATTTTCCCCCTCCTCATGAGGAAGCATTTTTTAAAAACTGTAGTAGTGTATACATAATACTTACCATTTTAACCACTTTTAAATGTACAGTTCAGTGGCATAAGTCCATTCACACTTGTGTAGCCATCACCACCGTCCTCCTCCAGAACCTTCTCATCTTTTCCACCTGTTCCCATTAAACACCAGCTCCCCATTCCCCCATCAGGAGCCTCATTCCCTTTACCTGTAAAAACGTCCTCATGTCTACTTAAGAGCATTGTTGTAGGAGTGGGTGACAGGTACGTACAGCTGGATGCTTGGCTCAAAGGTGGTTTTCCTTCCTTTTGCTTGTGAGTGCATCACCAAGCTCCCAAGTGGAGGACAGGATTCCTAATCTCACCACCCTCATTTTATAATGAGGGGAAAGTAAAGAAGCAATTGTAAATATATTTACTTGGGGGTGGGAGTAAATTTGTGAAGTAAAGAAAAAATGATTTAAGGGATTAAAAATACACCTGAACACACAGGGCTATTTTTAGGGTCAGTTTCAATCATGATTATAGTTTAAATGAATTTGTAACTTTATCCGTATCTGATTTAGATTTCATGTAAATTTAGACCTGATTTTGACTATTGGCATTACTTTTCTTGTATGTTTTTTGCTTCATTTCCTCTCAATTTTTAGGTAGACTTTTTTTATTTTATGACCCTATCCAACTTCCTGGTTAAGAACTTATTTTTCTTTTGTCATTGTGTTAGAACTATGCTTTAGGTCCTTTAACATAGAATCAGATTTTACAAAAATCATCTCCATTTAAAAATTTGGTTTTGGTCAGGGGTGGTAGGAGACAAAAGTCAACTTGGAACATTTATTTAGAATGGTGTTTCTTATAAGAGTCTGGCTTAAACTTAATGACTGATGCTTCTCTCTTTCTTTATCTTTTTGAGTAAGGAGAATTAGAAGTTTTGTATGTTTTCACCCATGATCATATAGTAGCTTTTTAAATATATTTTTATTGATTTTAGAGTGATAGGAAGGGGAAGTGGAGAAAGAGAGAGAAACACTGATTGTTTGCCTCCCGAATTTACTCCTACTGGAGATCCAATCCACAACCTGTGTATGTGCCCTGTCCCAGAATTGAACCAGGGACCTACCAGTGACCTTTCAGTGCACTAGAGGACGCCCAGCCAACTGAGCCACACCGGCCAGGGCTATCGTAGTATTTTAATGTAACATTTTCAGCCATAGAAGTAGACCTCTAGTTCCAGCATTGGAGCTACTAATAGTACCCCACTGGATTTCCCTTTTTTAAAATTAAATTTATTGGGATGACAATGGTTAATATGAACATATAGGTTTCAGGTGTGGGTTTCTGTGTTATAAGACCTGTATATTGCTCTGTGTGCCCACCACCCAAATAATTAGATTTCAATAACTTATTTCTTGTAGCTTTAAATGTTTGCAAAAGTCATGACAAATTAAAAAATATAATTTGTCTTATTAAACTAGGGTTTAATGATTAAAGAGATGTGGCCCTTCCTTCAGGAGCCTTGAGTTTAGTGGAGGAGAAGGGAGTCCTCATGGAAAGTGATGGTGACCAGCAGCGAGGCAGAGCTGGGTGTGGGGAGAAGTGGGCAGGCAGTCAGGCCCTGGGTCCCACGGGTGTGGCAGGGGAAAGGGGGAGTGGAGAAAGGGCCCAGTTCTTGGCTTGGCCACTCTTGTGTTGTGAGTTAGGGACCGTAGGAGGAGCAAGGGGTCACTGTTGGTCACACATCTACAGGGCTGGGAGGTACAGAGGAGGATGTCCGGGAAGTACCTGACTTTGTGGCCTGGAATCAGAGACACCCCCCCCCC